AATATTTTGAATTTTTTAAAAAATTTTTGCGGTTATTTTGATTGATTTCACTCAGCATGGGAAGATTTCCAAGATATTTATTCGTTTCTTGGATGATTTTCTGAAAAATACCTGAAGATTTGTTCTAATTTTATTTTTGATATTGCTGTCTTGCTTTTAATGTATTAGGATAAAGCGCAGGATTTCTCTAAGAATAACTTTGTTATGGAGTTCATACGTTAAAAAAGAAGGAATCAACTGATCCCTTTAAGGCGGAATAGGTTAATTCATGCGAAATCAAGCATGCGTTTGTGAATTTTTTTGTGACGACACAGTTAAAATGTCTTTATTAAAGTCAATGATACATAAAAGCATGACATTCGAGGAATATTATTATTATTATATAAAATTTTTACGACGAAATATTAAATACGGCAATACCAGCAATTATTCGAACGAGTCTTGGAAAAAAAGAATTGTGGGTCCCTTCATTTTTTGGTGATGTATCATCCGAAATCAAAAATCGTTATACAATAGTTTTTTCCAGGTCATGCCGAGAACAATTTTTGAAATTTCAATTCAAATTTTTTAGAACATTTTAAAGAAAAAACGCGATTTTTTTCGAAAAATCGGTAAATTTTTTTTCGTTCAATAAAAATTATTAACAACTTTGATAAAAAATTTTCCGATGTTACTTTGTAAATTATGTACAGAAATCGCGTTCAAATTTCAAAAGGATCGGTGAAGTAGTTTTAAAGTAATGAGACTTTAAAAATGTTAGTTGTGAGCAAAACGCTTTGAATTTTGGAAATCTGATGTCAAACGTTTATAAAACAAGTTTGAAAATAGTTCTGTATTTTTTTGCTAAATATTAGTACATGAAAAATCAGCTGATGTTAAGAAAATAATATTATGAGGAGTGGTTTGATTCAAAGAGGTTACATAATTAATACATAGTTCCTGAACGTGTCCACGGGAACAATTAAAAGTATCTAGATTTTTTAAAAGAATTATTTATAAATAAATATTTACAAAATTTTAATATATAAGTGATTCAAAATTTCACTTCTATTTTCATTTCAATGAACTTTTAAAAATTCCAGTAAAATTTTAAATGGACATAGAGTAAATTTTTATATTGAAGAACACTTAGTATTTCGCTAAAACAAGTTTAGTATCCACATATGTATATACAAGTATTATACAATTTAGTACAAGGAATTTTCTTACGTATTCTTAAAACAAAAAACAGTGTTGCCATACTTACCAAGGTTGTCTACTGGGATATTACACTTAACATTAGAAACTCTCCATTCGTAATTCGTTTCAATCATATACTCCCCCCACACATATAGCACTCCTTAGCCCACGTGATGCGCATGTTTGTACTCCGGCAGCGGTGGCATACTCGAATCCCAAATAAACAAATAGTACATGGCTAATGTCATGCCTAAGCCACTTATGCCCCCGATGTATATAAACAAGGAGATTAGTCGAAAGGTTTTCGTTTCGAAGAAACTGTCAGATTTCGGCACACTGATTTCTTCATCTTTATTATCGCCGTTGGCGGCAGCAGCAGGTGCGAGTAAAGACATTTTCGTAATTAATTACAATCGAATTAGAGAAAGTAAGCAGAGTAAGAGAAGAAGCAGTAGAGGACAAACAAGCGCAGAAGACTTTCTATAAAACTTTCCTATGCGATAAGACTTCGTATGTGTTGTGTTAGCGTTTTTCTGGGTTTTGGTATGACCGTCTTCTAACCACTCGCGTCGACGGCAATTCTAAGTCTCAAGTGTAACTAAAATGACTCGCAAGAAAATTTGTTGTACGAGGCTTTTCTTTCGTCCCAATGTCTGCCACTTTGGCTAGTTGCGGAGTAAATATGGGTGTTAGTATGTATGTACTTGTATGTCTATATGGTTATTTCTGCGGTTCGGTCTACTAATTGTTTATTGTCATTACATAGTACTTGTAAGTATTGGCGCGGTTTCGGTCTCTTCAAAATGGCATTTCACTATCTACACTTGCTCTTATGCCTGTATGTATGTATGTTAGCGCAAATGTATAGTTATGCCACTTAGTTATGTATGTGTGCGAGTGTTTGGTATGTTACAACGGTTTCGCATATTTAACTTATGCATTTCGTTTCTTATTCTTTTGCACACTTCGCTGGTTTCGAGGCGCTAATTAGTTGCAGACGTTCTCACATACATACATATAGGAGTATATGTACTTAGATGCCCTGTAGGAAAATTTTGCGATAAAGTAAATTTCATTGAGTTTCTATAAACACATATTTCATTATACAAGAAAGAATTTTGGTACGAACGACGTAGCCAGAGTTATGACCATTACAAATTTAACCGAAAGGCGAACTGATTTGCGGTTAGCTATAACAACTCAATAACATTTGAATTAATTCAAATTTATTTAAGACTATTGTAGTAATAAACAAAAAATGTCTAAACGATAAAAAAAAAAAATATTAGAGATAAAAGCTGTTTAATTAAAGGAAGTCTGTGGAAAATCTTTTATATTTTTTGCATATGTAAAGCCTAAGGCGTGCTTGGGTAACAGTCGGAATCTGACTTTACTGACTGTAATGTAAAACGAGGTCTCCCGAGAGAGAACATCTGATCAAAATTGACCCGGACTGATAGGCTTCTTGTGCGCATTAACGCTTAATTTAATATTCCATGCACCTCGGTTAGGTTGGCTTTCAGTGCCTTTAGCGAACTTAGATTTTTCCGTGTTTGCTTAATTTTTGGATCACCATTTGCTAGATTGTTGGATAGTTTCGACATCGTTCATTAACCCACGTATCGCCATCAGTAATGATGCGTTGGATGAAAGTAAGAGGCCTCAGCTATGTTGTCAATCATCTCTTTTGTGAAGTCTACTCGACTTCGTTTTAGCAAAAGATTCAAGTCTTTTGGTACGAGTCTAACATTACCCCGCTTCATACCCAAAGCATTAACTAAAATGTGCTGATTATATGCATAAGTGATGTTGAAAAACTCTACTGTCTCTCTGATGCCAACACGAAACACTATTTCTTAAACGTTTTCGATGTTATCGTCATTAACAGAGGTGGATGGACGACTCGCATCCTTTGTACTATTCAAATTCTTGGTTTGCTGATAAAGTAGACTCCCCAAAACAATTCTACAATATTTTCAACGATTTCATAGCCATGATGGAAAGTCAAAACTTCGAGCCAAAGTTAATTTTACACAAACATAAAAAAGGTTGCACAACTGGCCTACCTATGACTGCACCCACTTAACGTTTTCCTACAGGTATCTTCAATACATAAATATGTCAATATGGTGTAGCACTGTAGTATTTGCTCGTGTTCTCTTGGCTCCACAAGCAAATAATAGAAATTCGTACAAATTTACCCATATTATATATTTAGTTTGTGCCCAGCTGTCGCTAAATTTCATTTTATTACCATCGTGTGCGGTGAGTTGAATGGCACAGTCAAAAGATTCATAAGAAAACATAAGTGCAAAATCATACTTAGAAGGTTTCTCATTTAATTTATGGCAAAATATATCAGCGGCCAATATTACATGTAACTAATGGCTCGTATAATTTAATGTCGCCTATGTTTTTATTAGCAATTAATGTGATTTCCGAATAATATTATTAGTTTTAGCAAATGAGTGCCAACTTAGAAGCAGCGCTACAAGTTTATATAATACTTAAATAAAATTTGCTGTGTCTGCTATTGCGCCCAGAAATGAAGTTATACGACTTCGATTTGATGTAACGGCACTTTTTTCTTTAAAAGTGGTTCTAAATGGTTTTAAATGGAAGGTACTGGTTTAATATAGTTGTAAGTAAAATTATTTTGTATTTTAGTTTATTCTTGGTATGATTGCTGGGGAAACGATTGGATCAGTGGGGCGCAAGTCTTTATATCGATAATGCTATGAAAAATATGTGCAGTCGCATATTGACCAAAATGGTATAAAGTCAACTGAAAGGAAAGAGATTTTCAAATTCAATACATCGGGGCTAGCGGAAAGTATATTAGGATTCCGACTATTTTGTTGTCTTAATTTTGAACTTATCTGTATTATATCAATTAAATTTAAAACTTCTGTGGTTATTCTTTCGAGAGTTATTCCAAATTTAGGTCTAAGAATATAGTCAGTATAGGGAAGAAATAAGTGAGCCATCGTCCGTAGTATGGAAATACTACAATATATAGCTCTAACTGGATGATCACGTCCACTTTTCAAGAAAACTAAAAAATGACTGAATTATAGCATTCTACCAAAATTTGGTAATATCAACTTGTTATTCGTATTATTTTGATATATCGGTCTCGGTTCGTTATGTGAATGAAACTATTATACACTTTGCAACATGTTGCGGGTGTACAACTGAGACAAGATTTTCTTAGAAGAATAGAGGCTAAATTACTACAAGCTTACACTTTGGCTACACATTTAGCAGAGTTCTATTCTAAGCTGACTCCGAATACATAGGCTGAAAAAAAGCAGTATAATATTACAGCTAAATCCCTTATTGGTACTTATTCGATAGGTTTTTAAAAACGTCGAATCTGATAAACAAGTAAAAGGGCACAAATATTTGGTGGACCCTTTGGTTTTGAATTTTTCTGTTGTTGTAGCGGCAGAAAACATTTTCGTACCAAAACTTGTTAAGGTCGGATAAAGAACCGAATCCGCTCCGGTCATGTAGATGTCGTGGGGACGGTAATATATTTCACAATGGATTGAAGTCTAACTTTGCGCGGTAAATCTAACGGCACCATAGAATAATCTAAGCAGTACTCAGCTTAACGTTTTAGACAAAAATTGTTTTCTACAGAAATTTATTATAAGAAGGTTCTTGCTTCCTTTTACCGTAAACAGCTGCTTGACAGCTTAACCGAATAGAGCTGCCCTATCGCAAACTTCATATCGAGAAGTTTCCACATTGAACTACATGGATAGCGGTTATTCAAAATGGCACAGTAATACTTTCTTCACCTGTCTTACCTTTACGATCCTTAAATCCTCTTAAGTATACGACTGAACTTTTTGCACTGGTTTGCCGTCTATAGATATTGGAAACTTCAAATGTATATCCGGCATAGTTGAGTCGAAGAAAAGCAAGTAGTATAGCGACAAAATCATGCCTAGGCCACTTATACCACCGAGATATAAAAATAAAGAAAACCAGCGAAATACTTTCGTATCGTAGAAACTGGGAGCTGATGCATTATCTTCGGACTCAACTTGATCGTTTGCGTAAGCGCTTGAAGCCGCGTTATTCATTATAACTACAAATTTCGCGTACTAATGTCCCAACGAAAAAATGAGCAACAGCTTTTAACTAGAAACATTTTAAATTTCATATGCAAAATTTTAGCATAAATTAAATTGTAATGAAGACACTTTGATTGACAAATATCCGTTGATTCTTTTTATGCCCATTTCAGACAGCAAAAAGCATGACAAATCACAAGTGGTCTCACACACCTTCGAGGAAGCGCTGGAACTGACACATGTCGGTCGTTTCCATTATACGTTAATGCTAATTTGCGGTATTTGCTTCATGGCAGTGATGGCTGAAACGATGGGCATCAGTATGGTAATGCCTATGATAAAATGCGATCTGGCAGCGACACAAGCCGAACAGGGCTTACTCGCATCGGCGGGTTACTTCGGCGTTGTGATGAGTTCGCATATAATGGGCTTTCTGGCGGACACATGCGGTCGTGTACGAACGCTGCGCTACTCGTTAGTTTTAGCTGCCGCAGCGACAATCATCTCGGCCTTCTCCGTCAACACTTGGATGTTGATCGCATTCCGTTTCCTGAATGGCTTCTTCATTTCGGGCTGTCAGGCATGTGTCTTCAGCTTATGCGGCGAGTATCATAGCAATAGAACCCGTGTACGCCATGTAACGCTCTTGTCGATATTTTTGCCATTTGCGCTAATATTTTTACCTGGTAAGTGGAGTGTGCGGAATTGAGTTAAATTTGTAGTTCAAAAATTTGAATTTCTTTTGCAGCCTTGGCTATTTTTATTCTGCCAATGAAACTGGATTTCGTCATATTGGGCTTGAAATTCGCTTCGTGGCGTGCCTTCTTTCTCGTCAACACAGTGTTATCTATTGCGGGCTTGATAGGCCTTGCCACATTATCCGAAACACCGAAGTTCTTGTTGGTGCATGGCAATCACGATGCCTCTCTAAATATACTGCGTCGTATTTATGCTAAAAATACAGGCGATAAAGCAGATAATTTTCCAGTGAAGAGTATTGCTCTGCAGACAGGTGGCACTGATCTGTCAAATGTGCATGGCGTTAAGGATGCGCTGAAAATTATCTGGATTCAGACAATACCGCTATTTTATAAAGAACGCATTTTGCATACATTTAATATATGCTTTTCACTCTTTTCGGTTTACGGCATATCTCAGGGATTGTTCATGTGGTGAGTAATATATATAATATGTATGTATGCTTTAGGGTTTCGAGTTTTCCATACTACAAGTACATTTCATATTTTCAAAACAAAGTAAAAAGTATTGTTAGATCGATTGAGAGTAAACTAGAATTCCCATATTGGAATGAAATAAGAAACCTACACATATCTACTCTAGAAATATATCCACTCTTTTCGACTTTTGCTGCAATTTCGACAATAGAGCCTTCGAAGAAGTATTGAATAAAATGTAAAACCTTATTAATTGAAGCCATGCTCTGGTATCCACAGGTTAGGGTTAGATTAGGTTAGTTGGTTAGCATCAAGATAGATGAAAAAAACTGTAATTGGATATCAGCTTTCGGCATAACGCCCTGAACCTAGCACAAACCTGCTTAGGCGGATGTTTAAAAGTATGACAGAAGCAGCATGCGACTGCACAGCTGCTGGTAGTTGACCAACGCTTGCTGAGTTTGTCTGAGGCCTACTAGTACAGATGTGAATCACAAGAAGCTGACGGAGCTCCTAGCTGTTCCTTATACCAACGGCATATACGATGAAATTAAAACTTTGGAAACTGCTGACGACTGAGCACTGCTAAATCATCATTGTGGTAGGAAAAGTTTAGTGGATCTGTTATTTTGAAATAACTATGTATTTCATAGCGACTTAAAGCAGTTTTAAACAATTTTAGTTACCTTCAAATACGAAACTGCTATACCAATATTTTAACAGGCATTTTTTTTTTAAAGAAAGCACATACTATAATATATTCAACTTATAATTATATTTTGCTCATTGTATATTTAGGTTCCCTACAGTGCTCAATGAGCTAATTGCCAAAAATGGTCAAGATCTCAAGGTATGCACTGTAATTGGTGGCATGGAAATGACAACAACGGCGGCGAGCAGTGACTGCAGCGACGTCTTGGACACTTTTATGTTCGAAGTGCTGATGATGATTGGTGTCTTTTTTACTGTTGTTTTTCTCATATTCGCCTACACCATCGATATAGTAGGCAAGGTCAATTTGTTAAGTGAGTGTTCTCAATTAGATACATAATTATTTTTTAAGAAATAAATTTAATTTTTTTTCATTTACCTAAGTGATTTGGCTGGTGGTTTCTTGCGTTTGTGCGACTGTCCTACATTGGATCTCGGATTTTGCCGCCGCAGTGGTCGTTTTAACACTACTAATGAGCATTGGCAATTGCGGTGGCATCCTTGCCACCATTTCGATTGAGTTCTATCCGACACAGATCAATGCTATGGGTATGTGTTTTGCCATGATGATTGGACGTCTGGGTTCCGTGGCCAGTGGCAATATCTTTGGCATGATGATATTTAGCTATTGCGACATTTTATTTTGGGCTATAACGGCACATATTGTGGTGTTAGTCGCATTAGCCACCGTATTGCCGGAGCGGAAACGCGAGCGCGTGGTGAGCAATAATATAGCAAAATGATGGGGTGAGATTAAATACATATCTGAGCTTTAACTACGTCCATTTCCGCTGCAGTATTAATAAAATAGTTGCGATCATATTTTGAGCGGAAGTATAACTTAAAACCAAAAGTTAATCGAGAGAATCACCGAATTGTACAAATCCTGATAACTTTAGTTGAAATATGTTTCAAATAGAAATATTTGTACATACTCGTACATGCATATGGATATATATAAATATGTATTGATATATGTATAATACCCATATACGAGTACATATATAAAAATCGCCCTTAGGACCGACATGATTATGTTAATGCCAGTGTCATTGTTCCTATTATATTTTAGTATTAATAAAGTTGTAGTTTTTCTTTTCAACTATGTACATACAAATAAATATAGTTTTAAAAATATTTGAAATTTTTTGATTACAAAATGACGACAACGTGAGTAACATTTCACTAAATTTGTTTAAGTGTTAAGCTTTAGGTACTAATGACTTAAGCGATTAAGAGAGATTGAGAACAAAAATTTGGTGTCAGAAATACGCCCTGTCCTGGAAGGCTAATTGTTGAAGATATCGATAAAATAATAGAAATCGTCATGGACCGAATTTTCATTAGTGAAAACCAAGTCAAGGTCAAGCCAAGATTGACGGGCAGGAAGGTTTCGGTAGAATGGCAGTTCTTTACTCGAATTTGTACTGTATAATTGGATCGTCTGAAGTAAGCAATCATCCAGAAGTGGTCAGCTTGGGCCAATAGGAGAGGAATTGTGTTCCAGCAGGACAATGCCAGGCCGTACACATCGAAAGGTATCCACTCACATTTGAAAGCTTGGTTGGAAGGTATATCTGTTCATGTCAATTGCGAATAATTTTGCAGATGAAAAGTTCGCCTCAAGAGAAGCTTGTGAAACAAGACTGTCGCAGGTTTTTGCCAATGCGGAAGAGGGTTTCGATGAGAGTGGCATTTTGAAACTATCCTCAAAATGACTTAGTGCATGTTTCACAAAAATCGGACTACTTTAGCTATGCTAAATTAAACCTTCGATTTAGTGCGGAAATAATTGATTTCTCTTTTGATCAGGGAAGTGTCTAAATATATGTTGTAAAACGGTCAAATATATTAAGTTGCCATTAAGAATACATGCATACATTCTTTTGTTAAAATATCTCTGTGAAATATATAAAAGTAACAGTAAGCGTGGGTATCGTTCAGTATATAGAGGTTAATAGTATGGAAAGGCCTCAGTGATAGAGAGTATTCTTGCTGAAAGAAAATTTAACGGCAATAAAGACGTAATCGCCAATGGTGAGATCTATTTTGAAATCACAGTTTTATCCTATCATAAAAAGGACATCGGGAAGTTTGAAGAGCTCTATGATAGGTAGACCACACTCTATATCAGCCATGTTGAATAAAAAACAAATTTTGAAAAAAAAAAATTATTTAACTATACGAAGTTTTCAGTCCTTGTGGTATTCATGGTATGGTAAGCCTGTACCTAACCCACATGTTCTTTTGAAGGTCACCATACTAATCGTTTACCGTAAGCACAGCTGTGAAAGGAGTCAAAACCGTCAGGAACTAGAATACACATACCATGTTACAATAGGTATATTTCTATAACAATTAAAGTACGTTTACTTTGGGCATAAAATACTACTTTTAAATATGTATTTTATTACACACAATTTTTTGTAACTAATTTGAATTCTGCTTTTAGGGGCATCTTGTTTTTCAACATAATTTGGGCGTACAATTGAAAAATTTGGTCGTATCTTTTTAAGAATTCATCATAGCAAACATATATATGTTACATACATTATGTACGTCAAGAGTTTCAATTTAAACAGCAAGTTTTCAAAATACTCTAACCAAATTATTCATAAAAATCAAAAATTTAACTTTATTTTGTGGCTTAACGTGAATGTAAAATTATGATATTATATTTGATTAGAAAGGAGAAATAATTTTTTAACAAACGCGTATACAGGGTTTTCCAATAAAAGTGATATGATGTGAAAAAAACACACTTTGATTGGTTAAGGAAATTCAAATGTTTCTTATTTAATGTGAAGAATATAGAATTAAGATCTGAATATAAGATCATTCAAATGGCCTCCACAACTTCTTTTGCAGGAACGAATTTGATGAAGCTAATTTACGAGTACTTGAAGTACATGAACAGCACGTTCAATATTGACTTCTAGAGCTTAAAGAGAGTCTGGTTTATTGCTAAAGACCAATGACTTCACATAACCCCACAAGGAGTAGTCTAATGGTGTTAAGTCATAACTTCATGGAAGCCGTTTAATGTCACATGTTCTTGAAATTATCGAAGCTCCAAACTTTTCTCGCAGTAATTCGGTTGTTGCACTTGCCGTGTAGCACGTAGGCCCGTTTTGTTGGAACCAGGTACAGTCAAAGTCAACTTCTTCCAATTACGGCCATAAAAACTTGTTTATCATCGATCTATACTACCTCTCCATTGATGGCGTCAACGGCGTCCCCAGCTTTATTTCGAAAGAAGTACGGACCGATGATTCCACCAGACTAAAAATCACACAAAACTGCCAATTGAGGTGAATGTAATGGTTGTTCATGAATAATTTGTGGATTTTCTACGCACCAGAATTGACAGTTTTGTTTATTTACGGCATCACTCTGATGAAAGGGAGCCTCATCGGAAAAGATGAGAACAATTTTACATGGATGCAAACCCCAAATCCATTCTCAAAATCCGACAGGTTCTGGTTTGAGTTAGTCCCAATTCTTGAAAACCTCTTGGAATCGATCATTTGCGGTCTTCAGTAACACTTGTCTGAACGGCAGCAATATTTTCATTACTTCGAGCGGTTCTTTGTCTTATTGACATTTGAACATTATGTAAAGGTACATACGATATCGTATAAGTAAGTTTAGAGAACTACAGAAAAGAGATCTGCTAGCATCAAATATTTTATTCACCGCATACTCAGTGTCTATCCAGCATAGAATTTGTCGAACTTATGATAAATAAAATCAAATCCGAAATAAATGAACCGTTGAACAGTATTCAAAAATATAATACCGCTAGGGCGCCATCTGTCATCAATAGCGAATGCATACAAATACACATATAAGCAACATGGATTGAGTGATGTGAAGAGTCGCATACAATGTTTGACGGACACCACGACCATCATTTGATGGCAGTCCAAACGACAATTGTATAGTTGTCACTGTGCAAGCCAAGGCACGCTGCAAATCATGCCGCGCGCTGAGTTATCTTGCCAAACGACAGACACCAAATATAGCAATACAAGAAGCGCTAGCTGCCAGCAGCCAGAGGCAGCAGCAGCGGTCATTGCACGCAACTGCCATCTTCGACATGCCAAAAGCGGCGCATGGGGCCAGCGACCAAACAGCGCGCTGCACCGCGCCACAGCGCGTCAACTTGCCCATACGAAATAGTTGAAATGGCAATGTAGAATTGAAGAAATGTCACTTGCCTAGAATTGTAACCGCGTTTTGTGCCGTTTTTTGTGTGTGTGTTGTTTTCTGTGCGCGCTTGTGTTTCGGATTGCCATAAATACGGCTGCCGCAGCACTGTTAGCAAATGTATGCACTTAAATGGACAAAAAGCATTCCAGGCAAAGTGCCAGGCCAGGTAAAGTGCGGTTGCCTGTGAATGTGATGTGCGCTGTGCGGCGTGTCGCATCGCGTTGCTATAATCGTGGCACACGCATTTACGCACATACATAAATGAATACACGTTCGTGGCATATTTAAGAACTCTGTGTGCTGCCAATAGCATTTACAGCCATTTCTAGCTTATTGGTACGAGTACATAATATGTGATCACTGCACTTCACGTGCGCAGGTTTACCTTTTGATTGAGCTGTGCGCTGATAGACGCATAGATGGATCCATGTTGTGTTGGTTTGGCTGGCTTGTGGCGATACACGCACACGCACACACGCAAGCGCGCATTGCTGTACTTAAATAAATACGATTGAGTAGATATTTTCCTACGCATTTGCTGTTTACTCGTGCGCTGTTTACTAATGTTGCACTTAAATGTTGCACGCACTGTGTGGCACTGAATGGAATGTGAATATGACTGAAGACGACATAATATGCTGCATGTGCGTCGCATCTGAGGCGCAAGTGTAGTGATGCGGCAATAGAGCGATGCTTACATGCCTCTAAACACGCATATATATATATACAATATATGTATTTACATATATGTACATATGAATTCATACCTGAGGCGGGGCAAATATTGTCATCTAACGGTTTAAGCGACATACACGTTTACATTCAGCACGGTGAAAGAAAAACATATAATGACAACAAGGCATCCATAAATACATTTTAATCATAACTATTATTATATAAGTGCTTGTATAATGCCTTTAGCGATAGCAATATATAATAAGTGCATGCATAAGAAGTTCGAAGGAAGCAGTTACTACATATACTAGGTCATAGTCATGACTACCTGTTAGCTATTGCTCCCATAAAGTGTGCGCAACAGGTGGTGCAATAAATAAAATCCGTTTAAAAATTACAAAACCAATTAAAACTTTAATTTAGCTTAGTTGAATTATAATTAAATTTTTTAATTTAAACATTTTCTCGTTTAAACAATTGTAATTTATTATACTCTTACACCTAACGGTTGTTTGTATCACCTTAAACTTATCGAGATAAATATAGCTTTATATATATATAACTTGGTAACTTGAGTAAAAATTGAGATATCGTAAGGAAACTGTTTCTCTTTGTTACACATGTTTCTTGGTCGAATCGGCAGGACGAGTTCGTAGATGGGCGTAATCGGATTACTGCCTACAGTAATTAAACTCAGAAAGCATATTTTTCTGTTAAGAATATATAGTAATGCTAAAAAGATCTAAACTCGAATCAATGCTACCCCTAGCTCGCATATATCTTATATATATTTTTTCAAACCTTCGGTTAATTCAACAAGCCCAGACTATTATCTGCACCCAATATACTGTGTATAGTGATTACCGACTTCCACTGACTTTAAGCTTTTTAGGTTGGCCAAAATAGGTGATATTTTAATGAAAGTAAGTGGACAAGTTTTCTTTACAATTATAAAATTATTTTAATGGTTTAGCGCTGAATAAACCTCATAACCCTAATATAATGAATTATAAAATTTAGTCTCTTCGGTTGAGTTTATATCATATATAAATTTGAATGTAATTTTATCTCATGCGAAGTAAAATATAACACTAAAACTAAGTGACTCTTTGAAATTCAATACAAATTAATAAAATGTTGAATTCTTTTGCGATATGTTTTAAAATAAAATTTTGCTAATACCTGTTTTTTCCCGGCTTTGATCCTTGCAAGTTGCAGGAGTATGAAATGTTTAGTTACACCAGAACCTAAT